CATTTCTGGTTGCTAGGCAAATAATTTTTTCCAGAACTGCTGTTTTCCGCTGTTCATACACCAACATCTAAGTGCTCATGTTTGCAAACAGTAAACAGCAAACTGGAGGAGGAGCTGTTTGAGGGTCTCCTTGCCTGTGTCCTCCATCAATCAGTTCATACAGTATTCTCAAGGGAAGTAATGGCAGAGTTTTAGTTGAGTTTTAGTTGAGTTTTTAGTTCTTTGGAAAAGCAGAGGTAAAGTTAATTCTTCCCTTTTTGGACAACTTGACAGATTGCAGCAGAAACCTGGAGGGTATTTGTGCTTGCAACCACAGCATCCCCCAGACCGATGTTGATTTCTCTTCAGCCAACACAGCTGGTACCAGGAGACTTCTTTCCTTTATACAGACATTTATAAGCCATGCTCTAAGAACATCTTATCTCGTGTCCTAAGCCCCACATTCTGTATCATATAAAACCAGCTTTCAGATTTCATTAGCACCGGTGCAGCTGAATGGTCTGCAGAGAGGTGCATGGACAGATATTTTTTTTCCCAGTCTAACCTTATCTCCTAAACGTTTTTTTTTTTCTAAAGTCAGATTGGCATGGCTTTACAAAGCTTACTTGTTTATGGATGTACATGTTTACCACAAGCCAGACTACCACACAAGGCAGACATGACAAAAATCCCATTTGGGACAATAGTGAACAACTGAACTCATATTTCAGGTGAAAATTTGGGTTTCTTTTAATGCCATGCTTTTGGGTCCCAGGTTCTGTCTTGTTACAGAGTCATGGACTGGTTGAAGTCATCTGCTACAACCCCTAGCTCAAGCAGGGGCACCTACAGCACGTTACCCAGGTCCATGACCAAGTGGCTTTTGAAGATCTCCAAGGAGGAGCCTCACAACCTCTCCGTGTACCTGTGCCAGTGCTCCATCACCCACACAACACAGAAGTGCTGCCTGATATGTAGACAAAACCTGTCCTCCAGTTTGTGTCACTGCCTCTTGTCCTGGCACTGGGCATCACTGGCAAGAACCTGGCTCCATCCTCTCCACATCTCCCTGCAGGGATTTTTGGACATGGATGAGCTCCCCCTGAGCCCCCTCTTCTCCAGGCTGAGCAACCCCAGCCCTCTCAGTCTCTCTTCATAGGAGAGGTGCTCCAGGCCATTCAGCATCTTCCCGTCCCTTTGCTGGGCTCTCTCCAATATCTGCATGGCAAATCTGTCTTGTACTGGCAAGCCAGAAGAGGAAACCCAAAAACTACTTGAAAAAACACTGCTGAAGCCCGGGATTGAACCAGGGACCTTTAGATCTTCAGTCTAACGCTCTCCCAGCTGAGCTACTTCAGCCCTGCCCTGGGATGAATAGTCACCAGTATGATGCAACATAATTATTTTCAGAGCTTTACCATTCAGGATATTACTTGCTAAGCAAAGTATAAACATTACCTTCTCAGATTTTCAGTGGGTCCCTCTCATCTTTCTGGCATCTGATCTCCTCTGGTACTCTCTAGAAGAAGAGAAAGATGAAATAATGGCAAAAAACAGCTTCAGCACTTGGCACCCTTTCATGACAGCCCAAGAGAGAAGCCAAGGCACATGCTTCAGCTGTGAAAGTAGGAGGTCTGAATGCTGACAGATCCTTCTCACCTGTCCTCACTTTCCACCCATCTTTTAGGATGCTGGCATTTATTCCAATAATAATGTGCTTGGAAAATTTCTCCCCCTCTTAACACTGCCTGTTGAACTAGGTAACTCACATGGAGGTGAGAAGAAACCCAAATGCACTAACCTCAGGTCCAAGTTTATATAGTTGCACTCTGGGACTAAGGAACATCCCCCATTCCCACTACAGAGAGGACTGTACATAGGAATTGCAATACTTGTCAATTTTAGAGTGAATTTACAAAATCTGGCAAAATTTTAGCATGAGTGCCATACAATATAGTGAGGATTGGCAGTCTTACTACTTGGATTTTAAAAGCAAGAAAAAATAAAGAAGTTAATAAGAAAAATTGAGTGGTGGCAGGTAGTTGTAGAGGTAAAAGTTGGCCCTGGCAGAGGTATTTACCTCCTTGCTCTGTGCAGATCAGCAGCAGGACCTGAAACAAGACATTATATTTGTCTTCATTTCTTTTATGTTATACAAGCTGAAGGCTCTAAGTAAGGAAGAACAGGTTTCAGTAACTCCTGCAACCAAGGTTTCTAGACTTTTTTTTTTGTTTTTTGCTTATGTATTTCACACTACGCCTAACCCCCATTCCCTTCTTGCCAAGTCTAACTGCATTTGATAAAGCACCTAGAAGGACATGAACTCTTTCTTTAAAGACATCAAGAAATGGAGACTCTACCTCTTCCTTAGATGCTTCACCCAAATGTTTGACCTCATGGTTTGACCTGGTTTTATTTACAGGGAAAATGTATCAGGCAGAACTCTCACACACTAGTTCCTGTTATGTTCCCCATCAGTTCCTGTTATGTCCCCATCAGAAGAGAAAAAATGATAATGAAGGAAATGTCTGTCTGTAGCAATTAGGTCACCTTTTTCTCATAATATCATAATAAAGGATCAAGCAACGTTGTTCATTCACCACAGGACATTTTCTCCAGTCATTCACATTCCTCAGTTGTGTTGTTGCTGATTTTTTTTCCTTTTCCTTTTCCTTTTCCTTTTCCTTTTCCTTTTCCTTTTCCTTTTCCTTTTCCTTTTCCTTTTCCTTTTCCTTCTTCTTCTTCTTCTTTTTCCTTTTCTTTTCTTCAACTTTTTTTTCTAAGACTAACATCAGATATCTATGAAAGAGTCCCTTTCACATGCTCAGCATTTCCTCCCACCTCCACAGATCACCTAAGACTTCTTGACATGACTTTGGGCTGTTGTTCCACTCTATCCTTCAGTCCTTTGCAAAAGCAATCCCCTCTCCAAAGCCCTTCCATATGCATAGTCTCCATCCTTTGCTTCCACAGGCCCACATTTTTCATACAGCTGTACTACACATCTGAATGCTTATCAGGTCCCCTAAATGCTTCTCCTGTAATAAAGGCTTAACCACCTCCTCAGTTTGCATCATTCATACATTTTACCATCAGTAAATTCATATTTGCCTCTAGCAACTTGCTGAGAATAACGTCATGTTTAGAAGCAATCCTTTTGGAACCTACTGTGAGCTTTTTGCCTTTTCCATTCATTAATGCTTATCCACCAACAACTACTTGTGATCTGTATGTTAGGTGGGTTTTAATCCATTTTATTACTCTTATTATGTGTTAGTCACAACATAAGTGCAAGAAGTCACCTGTTCACAATGGTTAGAAGAGATTGCTTAGGAAAAACACTTAGATAAAACAGTGTGATAGTAGTTGGAGCATTTTGTTCACCTATGGGAAACATCAGTCAGGGGAAATGCCTGTGGGAGTAACAGTACACTGAATGAATGCATAATGGCTGACATTTCCAGCATCGCAAGATTTATTTTTTTTACAACGTTTTTTATGTAACTCCATTTGTTTTCCTCAGAAAACTGTTCTTTCTTGAAGCTGGAGATTAGTACATGCATAACAAGGCTTTACAGAAAAGTGTGTCCAGTAAAATTTTCTTTACATGACGTTTTGTTAAGAATCAAAACAAACTCTGGCCTCTGCTACCAGGTTCACTCCAGCAAAACTGAATTTGGAGACAGCCAAAGCAAAATGTCAGCAGAGTAGTGTGAGTCCTGCTAACGGTGCAGCTATGAAAATGTGGGCTGAGAGTCTCTTACACAACCAGCAGTGTTATAACCATGGAGTAAACGTAACTAGTGGGAAAAGGTAAATATTGTTATCTCTATTATCTATTAGAGATAAATATTATTTAATAATTTAATAATTAATTATTTAATAAATAATATTTATCTCTAATAAACGTAAATATTATCTCTAAATATTGCTGCATTTCATTTCTTTGGCTGAAGGGGAAAAAGTGTCTTAAATCTCAGTCTTCAGAAGCAGAAAATAAACTTATTTCTCCATTTATTTACTTTTATTAACAAATGAACAAATGGTATTTTCAAAAGCCAATCATAACAAACAGATGAACAAATGAAAATGATTCTCTGATCCAGAGCTTTGTGGAGTCCAAGGGAAATTTACCTCTTTTACAGAGTAGTAATGAAACCGGTGGCATGATGGCATACAGCTGAAAATACAATGGGGCCATACAAGTGTATGGAGTAATACTACCCCTCTCCTTTGAGGGACCTCATAATATTGATGGGATGTTCCTCACTGTCTAATCTAATTAGATTATTTAGGATTTTTTGCAGTGCTAAAGTCAGAGAAATATTTCAGGTATCGTCTCCAGGGGAAGACTTTATTTAACAAATGATTAACTGATGGACATCATAGCTCTTTTGTATTTATTTTTCTCAGTTTTTCTCAGGAGTGAATATACAAAACTAAGGACATACAGTTGTACTTACAAAAAATGAGTTTTGGAGTTAACTGCCTTTTGGGGGCATTGTAAATCTTCTTTCCTCATTGCTTTGTGTGGGCTAACATCAGCCAATCCATTTTACTTAGTGGCCTTTGTGGATTTTTCTATCATGTTTTAATGACCCTTTTGTGCTGTATTCGTTGGACCAAGTACATAGGAGAGCTGTCTATCACAGTTTAGCACTTTTTTTGCCAGACCGTTTTTGTCTGTGTGAGGCAGAGAAGTGTGAAGTTCTTCTTTCTCTTGGCTTTGTGATTTTGAAGGTGGGTGATGCCAGCCCTGAGAAGGTTACTATCCATTCCCTTGAAAACTACTTAAGTTGGCTGTCTGTCTTAGACAATTATTTTGGGCTCTAGATCTTGAATGAAAACAAATTTATATCACTGAAAACCCTGATGCAGATGCCCATGTCTGACAATTCTCCATTCATTCTCTAGGAATTTGTTGCTGAACACCTCTAGAGGCAAGTGATTAAGCATTATGTAGAAACAAGGTGCTACCAATTACAGTTTTCTCCAGCAAGTGTAGAAAAACCTGAGTCCCACACCAGCTTTGATTCATTCAGTGCTAGGACTGGTACCTAATGCTGGGTGTTGGGAAAATTGCTGTTCTGGGGAGATATTTTGGTGGGTGATGATAAAAAAAGGTCAGTTGCTGTTTGTTTTTTTTTTGATAGTACATTGCATTTTTCAGCTGTGTAAGCTCCTTTCTGAACCCCCTATTTCCTCTCCATCCTGCAACACAACAAGCCACAGGCCACCTGATGTCAGCTACTGTTAAGCCCAGGAACCTTTCTGTGGATGCTGCCTAGACTAGAGCAGTGCTGGGATGCAGGTAGAGGTAGGCAGGTCTGCTCTCACTTTCTGACCTTTCAGATGAGGAGGTGTTGTCTCCTTTGCAAAAAGTCAGTGGTGCCTCCCAGGACCTGTTAGTCAGGGCTGGTCTGATCCCTCTCCACCTAGAACAACACTGCCATTCTGAATGTTGCCTATTCCTCCAGGCAGTTTGTAGAAGCTCTTTTCGTAAGAAGTGCACATTAATGCAGTGTTACTGCGGTGTTTAGGAAAGCTCTTCCAGGGCTCTGTCAGTGCCCCTTCTGAAAGCCTGGAGTTGTGTTGCTAGGCTGCTCCAATTCAAATTTTTATTGCTCTTTGTTGGCTTTGCTGCTGTGTTTTTGTGTTTGCAGCTTTTTGTTTATTTCTTTTCTGGCCGGTTGCTCCATCTCAAGCTATTAATACTTGTTTTTCTGTCGTTGTTAGTGACATAGAACAGTTCAATTGTGTTAAAGGGTTGTAAGGGCTTGTGTACTTTTCAGTTCATTTTCTCAAGTCCCTTTGTAAATAGTGATATCTGTTCTCAGGATGGATGTTAATTTTCCCAGAGTGGATAGGAGTCATGGAATTTCTGGAAGGTAACAGACTTCTTCCATTTTGTGGGATTTATTTATGGTGTCATAGGTACATATTGCAACTAGGGAAGACTTTGCAGGGTGATTGGTGGTGTACACAGTAATATCTTAAAGGCAAGGTTACCTCCTGATGCTCCTCCAACAGAGCGTATATCTTCAGGTACACCCCACAGGGTATATGATATGGAAAGAACTTCATTTCTGTGCTTGAATCATCACTAAAGTCTGGGAGGATATGACAGGCATGGTCACCCCACCCCTTGCAATGACATTAGCATTTGAAGGTGCCACTTTCAGCTGAAATGTGGCACTTGGCTGCACACTGGTATCTAGCATGCTCTTGTTGAAATAAAGGGCGTCTGTTTAAACAATCTTCATAGTTTCACTTTTCCACTGGGGAAAATTTCAGGGAAACTGTGGCATTGGGAACAAGTCATTGATGAATGCTGTTTATCACAGCCTCTACTGTTCCAGTCAACCACCACTCAGAGTTTCATGGATTACTCCAGCACTCCACAGCTTTGATTCCTGGTTCTTTCCCCCTCTTTCCACATCCCCCTGGGCCCTGCCACCACAAGAAGGTAGAGCAGGAGGTACCAGGAAGACTGGATCTTCAGTGGAATGATAATTCCTGGTGTTGGAAGGCAAGCTGGGGACATTTGTCTTGTGGCCTTCATTTATTCTGCACACTGATTTAACTGTATGGCCAGGTGGGACTGTGATGCAATTAGCTTTAATTGAAGGTTAAAAAAAAAAAAAGTAAAGGTTAAGCTAAGACAAATCTGGTGAGAAGCACTGGGCTGGGGGGCTATTTGCCTACAAGAGCTGATTGTCTTTTATTTGAACTGGGAGATCTAGGAAAGTCAACTGACTTAAGCAACTCCTTATGCCTTTATCTGCAATCCTTCTTTTAAAAATTGACCTCACAACAAGCTCAAAGGGTTTAAACCTCAGTTTCACCCTAAGCTACCACTCTTTCCCACTTGGCTCCGATATGTGGTAGGCCACTATGTGGAGCCAAGAAGCAAGTGTGGGTCTCTTGAGCTCATGCACACCAAGAGTCTGTACCTTTTAAAATAAATTTCTGTGCAATTTGTGCTGTTCTAGTAGTTCCTCCTTAACTGAGTAGAGTACTATGAGCTCTCATAATTTTAATGAGCCTCCTGATGACTTGTGCTTTCATTAGAGCTCTTGATCTTGGACTCATGTTATTTTTGTGATAATCGCTACTTTCATACATAAAACCCTCCCATAACTGCCAAGACAGCCTTTCTAATGTGACCTGTTTGCTTTCAAAGGAGTCAAAAGTAAAAATGACAGAAGGAGATGGAGTTTCCAGCCTTATGAATTAAGTTGTGTGCATCTGTAACGGAAGGACGTCTGTCTCGGTGGCAGCAATAGCTCTTTTGCTCCTGGAGAACTCTTCCTCTTGACAGAGGTCTACAAACAGATTTGCAAAGCCAAAGAGAAAAATTGCTCTCTCTCATGCAGCATTCAACTTTCCATTTTCTTCTGGTTTCTGAATGTAGAATTGCATTTTATTTTATTCACTTGGAAATCCTGCTCTTTAAAATGAAGAGCTATTCAAAACACATAAAAGATACTGCGAGACACATAAGTGTTTTTATCTGCAACCAATTTTACTGAAAGACTGGAGAAAAGATGTGGCACATCCCTTGTATGAAATGTTGTATAAAGATATTAAGGGTGTGTGTCCATACTGCTTAATAAAGGGACCACAAAATATCAAAAAAAGGATTCTGGAGCCTCAGACTATTTTTATGTGTGACTGTACACTGCCCAAAGTGTTTCTGTTAAGAGCTGGGAAAAGGCAATACATGAATGAAGTTCAGGCATCCTTGATTAGCACAGAGAGTTCTTTCTTTATTAAAAAGATAGGTCAGGAAAAGCATCAGGGAAGGAAGCTGTGATTTAATTCTTAATACTGGTGTCTCGTAGGTTTGGGGAATTTACATCACAACTTAGTCAATGTGGTAACTGAATATTTACCAGACAAATGTTAGCTGAGATGATAAGAAGAGATCTCTCCACAAGCTTGAAGCATTAACAGAGAAAAATACAGCAAACTTGCCCATAAAACTTGTTTCCCATTGTAAAAGCTCCAGGGACAGAAATGATCCCTCAGCCATAGTTTCCCTGAAAAAGACAGACATTTAGGAGGAAGTGAGGTTTGTAACATTGAAATGTCAACAGTGATGTTAAAGGGGAAACAAATGCTTTGAAAAAAGAGCTGCAATACATCTAAGGAGCTCATCTCTGTGCAGAGGGATTTTTCCCCTTCTGTGTCTCCTTTGTTGTTCATCATTTTCATTCTGGATGCAGTCTGCAGAGGCAGCCCACTAAAATTTAAGAGACTTAAAGATCTCACAAGCTTTTCTTATGCCTCATGTAATGCCATACTCACTGCAAAGCTCAGGTTTTATGGTTACTCAAAGGCAAGATTCTGGCTCCTACAAGGACACCAGGGGCCATAGTTATCACCCTTCAGACCCTGAGATGCTGTTAGCCTGATGGATGTACTGAAAGAAATAGAGGAGCACTAGGCAGCAGCACTGGAGCAAAATGAATCTTTCATGGGGGCAGAAATGCCTCAGGGCAGCACTAGTTCCTTGATCTTTTTCCCACTGCCCTATCTGAGATGCCAGACCTTCTGCTGACAAGATGTCGGATGTGGACCCACCAATACTTACAGTATAGGAAAAATCTTGAAATATCTGGTCTTATTCAAAATTCTTCAAAAGAAGAAATGAGGATTTCTCTAGCCCTGTTCCTGAACTGATGGCAAAAGTTCTATAAAACTTGATATAAAATTATGTTATGGATAATTCTGACCCAAGGAGAGTTTTGCATTGTCTACCACTGAAACTGAAAGCATCCTCAGTTTTCAGTCACCTGTTGTATTAAGATTTTGTTCAAGTACAGAACCACTTGTAATATCAGGGACTGAACCTTCAGTCCCCTACACATCTGCTGAGTACGTGCTGACCCCAGGCTTTGTGCAACTCTAAGCCTTCTAATTGCTACAATGAGCTGCCCTGCTGTTCTTGAGCAATTAAGTTGCCAGCCCTGTAAGAACTTGAAGCCCCATCCCACCTATGGGGTGAAATGGGGAGAGTATAGCCTAAGGGTTGGCCATTTATTATTTATATCAAGTGGAAATGCAAAGTAATTAAGAGAGGTTGAGGCAGTTGGCTCCCTGCTGTTCTGTGCCAAGTGCTGCTTTAGCTATGGCCAAAAATTCAATTTTTTTTCCTTCATTTTTGCACTATGTACCTGTGAACTTCTGGCTAATTTCCATCAGACCCCTACTGCTGTGCACCTTGCGTCCAGCTGACTAGGGAACACGAACCGCTATGTCCAGAAATGCCAGAAATTATATTATCAGGAATGATATTAACAGTACAGTATCCACATAGAATTTAAGTCCCTGACTAGCATTGCAAAGTACCTGTGGTAGGGAAAAACTGCTCGGTTCACATTAAACCAACTCAGAATTGAAGCAGTTTATTGATTTATTAACAACACATAATTACCTGACAACATGCCCACCTTGCATTCAAGATTGATATCAGCAATGCGACAGATAAACTGGAATAAAAGACACACAGAAAGTAGCAATAAACACCTAAAAATTTCTAAACACCCTTCTATAACTACTGCTAAAATGCTCCCAGTGTGCACGTGCACACAGTTATATGTCCACTATATATGAGCAATATATCAAGCAGGTTCCCTTGCTTGATGCTGGTGGGGTGACTCCTGGCAGTGCCAAACCAGGTCTGAGTGCTGCTGCTTCCATTGCAAGATTTTTCCCAAATTTTGCATATTCTCATGATTCATCTCAAACTGACTCCTTCTCTCTTTCAAAAGTATCTTTGTCATGTCCCAAGAATTGTTTAGTCTCGCTAAAGAGATTGAGCTAAAGGTCAGCTTAACATGATCTATTAAGGACAAAAATAAATAAAATCAGACTATTTTGTGTATTCTGTTAATTCTGGCTGCACTTACATTTCTATTACAATAGCTGTTCATGTCCGGGCCCTTTGATAAGAGCAGGCATTTGAGCTCCCTGAGTGCTCACATAGCTGAGAGCAACCCTCATGTGTTACCCTCATAGGTGGTTACATGGGCAGAGCATCCACCCTGTAATCCTTCAGAATCCAGAGAAACATAGTGCCCTGCCTTCCGCAGGCAGACAGCCTCATACCATGGTGGGGTTTTGTCCAGAAAAAAGTGTGAATTTAATTCCTTTTGTTAAGCTTGCAGGCAACAGTTGCTCACAGAATCTCCCCCTAACCTCTGTGATAACCCTAAAAGGGCTCTGTTGGGTTTCCATGCTCTTTAGGGGTGAAGCCTCTGCACATAACTTTCATGGGGATGAGAAATTTTGTGTAATTTTAAGACAGAAAAAGGACAGAGTGAGTTCAAGAAGAAAACCTGGAAAGAAAGCAGTTACAAGGATGGCTCAAGGACACACGTCTGTCAAAACTTGGGCCCACTGGGCTGTGTGGCAAAGGCAGGACATGCTTGGGTGAACATTGTGGGGGTTAGTGGCATTACAAAATCAAACTCCACCAGCCAGATTCCCAGGTCTGTGCTTCCCACGAGATCTGCTGGAGTAACCTTTGGTGTGGATTCAGGATATGGCTCAGACTTGTATCTGCAAAGCTGTAGCTTCAGCTGTTAGTTCTGCGAGCAGCTGAAGATGGACTCACAGTAGAAGAAGGAAAGATGTCTTAGAACTTGTCTGCATTTACAATGTGGAAGAACTTTGTGGGATTAATTACATGTATGTGTGTCTATAATGCATTGATTCCATGTGAGACTAGTTCCCCTTGTCCTTTATAGCCAGACTTGTGCAGCTGAATCCGCAGACGTAGGGTGATTAATTAATTAATTTCTCCCTGAAATGGGCATTGAGTTTTAGTCTGACGCATCGTGACTTAGCATATTCTTTGAGAGAGGAACTGATGAAAATCCTGGCTACTCAAAGCCTCATGAGATGGAAACTGACCCATGTGCAGTTCTGGGATACAACGAGTACTCTGTGAAGTCCAAGACACGTCTTGAGCCTCACTTACACACATAGGTTTTGCAGTCCTCATGTGCCCCCATGTGTGGCTGGTCTGTCAGAGAGAGCTGTCCCTGCTTGGGCATTCTTATTTCATCATCACCACCTTCCTGAGACTGCAGCAGAGCTGACAAAGACCAATTCCTCCAGTAAAACCCTGTTTTATAGGCGTGCTGCTTTGCTTCTACCCACCCCTCTTTGCGCACTTTGTCAAAACCAGGCTATTAAAAAATAAAATAAAAGAGATGACTTCCAAATTAAATTATAAAGCTGCAGCCCACTGGGTGGTTAGTGACTATGAATTTTTTATGTTTATGCCATCAATATGACTAAGCAAGATGGGGATGAGGGAAAAGAGCATTTTTCAGGGTGTCAGAGCTCTCCATTGTATTTAATGCAAGGGTAGAGGCAGTACAAGAAAACAGAAATTTGGGGAGAGTGTAGATTCTTGTTCTATTCATCAAAAAAGATATACGGAACAATCACATACCTTTCAGTACAGATGTTACTGTTTGTAAGAAAGACCTAGGGCAGTAAGAGATCAAACTTGAATGGTTTCCAGCTTGTATTGAAATTTAGGGGTTGTATGTAAGAAATGTAAGAGATGCATTTATTTTTTTCCTTTGCTTCTTTCTTTGCTTTAGTTCATGTGACAAACTGAAAAAAAAAAATAAGGAAAAACACTCTCTTGGGTTAAATGAACCCCAAACAATCTACTTCTTTTGTTGAAACAAACCTTTAAGATGGATTGAGTAAAGCAGTTACTCAGCCTCAAACAAAAGATTTTGCCTCTTCGTAGTTTGTTGTCTGGGGCTTCCTTTCTAAACCGAGTTTTGACTTCGAAGGCAATATGCCTATGGAAGGGACCTTAGAGCCCATCTAATCCAAATCCCTTTCATGGGCAGGGACATCTTCCACCAGACCAGGTTGCTCAAAGCCCCATCCAGCCTGGCCTTGAACACCTCCAGGGATGGGGCACCCACAGCTTCTCTGGGCAGCCTGTGCCAGTGCCTCAGCACCCTCAGAGTAAAGAATTTCTTCCTTATATCTAATGTAAACCTACCCTTTTTTAATTTCAAGCCATTCCCCCTTGTCCTATCACCACACCCCCTGACAAAGAGTCCCTCTCCAGCTTTCCTCTAGCCCCATTTAGGTACTGGAAGGCTGCTGTAAAATCTGGAGACTTCTCTTCTCCAGGCTGAAAAACCCCAACTCCCTCAGCCTGTCTTCATAGCAGAGGTGCTCCAGCCCTTTGAGAATCCTCATGGCCCTCCTCTGGACTCACTTTTATAACTAAATGTCTTTCTATTTCTGAGCACAGCACACCAGATGGGGAAATAGAGACAGGTAAGATTGCTTACCTTCTACTTCATCAGTTGCTCCCATTAGATGAGGAGATGATCTTCATAACATTTAGGCCTGCTGAAGTGAAATTGGAGAAATTAGAGAAACGCCTTATACTGTACTTCTACTCACACCTTTAGAGTCATCAGCCTTCTCCTGCATTTGCTAAGCAAATGAACCAGGAATTATTTTACAGCTCTAAGATACCATAAAAATGAATACTCAACATGCACCAAAATGCATATACGTGGATAATAAAATGCAAACTTACCTAGAATTGCATCCAGCCCTCAGCATGTATATAAATGACCACGATTCACCC